TTTTGCACAACTAAAGACGAAGGACTCTGAGACAATGAACGCTGAGACAAAAGACTCTGAGACTTGTAGTCGTGTGGTGTATCTTACATAACACAGTGGCCATCAGCCCTCTTTGTTGAGGGGGGGAGGACTGCGACGGAGCTGTCCATGTTTTTCTCCTCGTTTGACTTCTTGTAACGGCGCTGTCGTCACACCTGCACCTCGGCTGTTAACGCACCTTCAAACATGACTCACGAAACTGTAAAAACGTGACTCATGTAACTGTAAAGACATGTGGCTCAGATCGGGGAAGGAAATGATGATTTAGTGATGAAAGAACACACGAACAATAAGACCTGTGACTAAACTCCACATCTCCGAGAGTTCAGTTTGCAGTGGTGGAAATTAGAGTTTTGTGGTGATTGTACTTTGCTAGTTTCATTTAGCAACTTGGGATATTTTTCTGTTTAATTAATGTTTTCCTAATAGTGCTTTTGTGCCTTTATGGATGTGTAACTTTTACTTGTATTTGAGTACTTGTACACTGCAATATATAGGCTCCTAATACTGTAACCATCACATGTGTGCTTTGAGGTTGAAGCTACCTTGTAAACCTTGTTCCATTTCTCTCCTCTCTCTTACCTGACTCTTCCCGATGCATGTGAGTTCTCTAAGAGCAGAGTTGGCACAAAAAAAAGCAAACTGATGGGTGTTTGCTGAGTCAACCGACAGCCTTGTTGGACAGATGGGTCTTGAAAGCGTTTGTTGGCCGTGTGAAAATGTCATCCTTTTGAATTTCCTTGGTGCTATATCTGATCTTCACCCACAAAGTCAGCGGGAAACTTTCTATCTTTTGTTGGAAGAGAGCAAAGGAGTGAGGTTTGGTCGAGTGGACTCGGCTGCGCTGAATCCAGAATTAGTCGTCTCTGCACGTGATCACAACACACAAAGCAGCGGATTGACCTCAGGGCTGAGCAGTCAAGCATTCAGTGCATGATAGCGCAGGCATGCATGTGTGTGCATGTACACTTTTCATTTGCTTCTGATCTTCTCTCTTCTTTTTCATTCTTTCCTTTTCTTCTTTTACATCATGTGAGTGCGTCATTGTGACATGTTTAAAAGCAGAAAACTGAACATTAAATTATGTAGGGAAACTAGCGCATGTGATGAACATTTCTTTCTTTCTTTCTTTCTTTCTTTCTTTCTTTCTTTCTTTCGTTCGTTCGTTCGTTCTTTCTTTCTTTCTTTCTTTCTTTCTCTGAGTTGATATGCATCAAGCAGTGACACATATTCAGGAACACAATTGTGATGCAAACTGATCAGCGACAACCAGATCATGCTAATAACATTGATTAACGGATCACTGAACTTAAATAGATCCATGTTAGATCATCTAATGTCAAGAGGTAGCTTTCCATCTATAAATATTTTATATAATCACATCATTGCTTGTCCCTAAACACCTGTCTTGCCCAAATACAGTCGTGACTTGACATTCTGACCCTTAACAATCCTAAAACCTTGCTATCCGACAGGCTTTTTGGAAAAACGAACGGAACCCATTAAAAATAGCCTTAACATACTGACAGCCTTGGATTCTGACTCCAACATGACATTTTATGTCACAAATAAGGATAACAGCGTATTGTCTGACTGAACAATCCGACAGATTGGCTACGTTCAGACTAAAGGACTTAATGCTCAATTCAGATTTTTTTGGTGAAATCCGATTTTTTTGCGAGTTTGTTCACATTTCCAATTAAATGCGATTTGTATGTGATCTGCTGTGTGAACTTCATACGACCCAAAAGTGTCCCGCATGCTCAGAAGAGGACATGACGACGTCACACGCAGCGAGCATGTTCAGTGTTTGCAGAAGTAAACATGGATGGTAGCGGTGGGGCGTATCTTGTTTTTCTAAAAACTTTAGAATCGCCCGCCATTCCCCTGCCGCCACCGATGGTGGAAACAGCTATCCTAAACTGACATCAGCAGCCAAGTAGTGCCTTTGTGTTGCGGCCACTTCTACCCTGGGGGTGCACTCCAACAGGGTGGAATTGGCCGGAACGTGCACAATCACACCAGTCATTTAGGTGTGAAATCCAGCGTGGCGTTCTATCAGTACACTAGTTATTGTAACAACGATAAACAATTAATATCAACAACAAATGACTCTTCTAGCATCAAGCCCTCCTTGCATCTAGACCTCCATCTTGACAATCCGACAGCCTTGCTATCCGACATAACAGAAGTTTTTACAGTTAGCGTCGTATTATCGAGTCACGACTGCATCTCCAACACTCTCTGTTTTGCTTGAGTCTGGCCATTGTGCCCCCAGAATGAACATTCTTGTCTCATTGATACCACATGTTTCTGTATTCTTCATGCCCGTCAGTGCCTGTATTTGTGCACATAAGTAGCATAGTTTTCACTTATTTCTATGGATCGTCACCGGCCCATTAGGGAGACCTTTCTACACGTTTTTTTGTGTGTGTGTTTGTGTATTTTACTTTTATTATTTAACATAAGCACAGTTCATTTCAACCTGTCATGCCAAAGCTGCAGTACAAATGCTTAATACCGTCATAGTACCTGCATTCATTTTACTCTTCTCAGTGTGTGATGAGTTTTAGCTTCTCTCCATCTCTGGAATTCCCCGAACCTCCTGAAAACTGAACTTGTCACACGAGGTGGAAAGCATTACTTTGTCCATCAGAAAGAGCTGTTTGCCTTCTCGCCACTGGGAGGAGCCTCAGATTATCAGAGCAAGGAAAGGTGGCTGTTATCAGGAGACCCTGTTTTTGTTTTTCTTCCCCCCTTCCTTTGAATCAGCCATCCTTAAACTACTCTTCTGTAATCTCTAATCTCAGTCTAATTGTTTGAGGCTGAGTTTGTCCATTTTGAGGCTTTAATTGATCGTCTGGTCTCATTTACATCCTGTTTGTCTCCCTGCTGTTAAATCTACTGTATAGAGATTCTGCACATCTGAAGTTTTGAAAAATGCATAAATTTCACTCAACCTGTCTTTTTTTTTTCTTTAAAGTTTTTTTTTTTTCTCTCTCTGATGTCACACATGTAATAATATTTGTTTGGACCCAGATGCTCATCATTTGTGTAAATAAAAAGTCAGCTCCTTGGCTTTCAAGTCTCACTTCCCCTGGGGATAATAAACAGGAGAACCTTTAGTCCCACATGTCCTACAAACGGTGCTTAGAAATAAAGTCCATCATTCATGTATTGTAAAAAATAATAATAACACGAACATAGAGCAGTTAATCTTTACGATTTCATCAGAGTAAAAGCCTGTTTCGAACCTCTTTATCGCGGACTAATGGAGAAATCCAGTCGCAGCAACAGAAAGTTTGACATCTTTACAGCGTCTGTCCTCTGGAAAATCCTCTTGCCTCAGTGAACCGAAGCATTTTCCATTCCAGATTTCATTATAATAAACAGAAGAGGGGTCGCGGAGGAGCAGCAATACAAGAAAAATACACAATATAGCTGATCTCCAAAAAAAAAGAAAGTGACCTTTTTACACAAACACTGGATATTTTGCTGGATAAACACGAGGAATAAATCTTTCAGAGTTCTGGGTCAGTAGAGTTTGTCGTGTAACCAGCGCCCCTCTTGCTGGCGTGTGTTTACCATACAGAAGGAGCAGTGGTGGCGGGACAAAGTCATGAAAGAAACCGACTTGCAGAAAAGCCAAACTACAGCGGAAAAGTCGAGAAAGTAAATGTCACACGCGGGCTGTTTGTTTGGAAAGTGTCTGGGAAGATACACCACAGCCACAGAAAGAAAAAAAAGAAAAGAAAAGAAACCCATCCTTGTGGCGATGGTGTCCGCACACTAACTCCTCCTCCTCAGTGATGTCTCTGAGATCCACCTCCTCCTTTTCCTTCATTCCTCCCCTTCCTCCGTCTCATTCCCACTAATCCTCATCAGTGAATGAAGGTTGTGCACTCCAGTGTGTCACTCTGCCCTTTTTTGCCCGGTCATGTCAGATCTATTCATATATGTGTGTGTGTGTTTGTCTACATAATTATGTGGGAGTGTGTGTCTGCAGCTCATCTGATAAGGGGTTGTTGACTTGGAATTCCTCTTCCCCTTTCTAAGCATTAAAACCTAATCAAATCCACAGAGTGCTTCATAATGAAAACAAATCAGAATAAGAATGAGCTGAAATTACAGGAAAGGCACTTTGTATGGATTGACCTCTGAGTTTACTTGAGTTATTTGCAGCCTTATTCAAAAGCATATACAAAAAAACATGTATTCAGTCGGTATAAGGAGGAAGACAGGTTACATTAACACTGTTATTACTTATCATATACAATATAAATCTTGTAAATTATCTATAGTTGTAGTGTACCTCCATAGCTGTCATTTGTTAATGATTAATTAGTAGTAGTGGTATCACAGATATCGCAATGAGGGCGACTAAATATTGTTATATATCATATAATATCCATTAGTTATTAGTGTGTATGTAGGCCTACACATATATGTATGTTGTAATATATTCATATTGGTAATATACATTTCTATAACAATCTGTTAGTAAATAACCTATTTATCGTATTGATTATGTGTATGGTATTATTATATACTATATATCGGCGATACGCATCAATATATAATCAATTACCTGCGCCGATATACAGTATATAATAATTCCATACACATAATCAATCCGATAAATGAGTCATAGGGTGATAAGGGGCTGGGAGTTAATAAATTTATATTTCCTCCTGCTCCTTTTCGAACTCATGTTGTACATTTTTTTCCCCCCATGTTTTTTATTTTGTTTTTAATTTTTAATTTTTGTTCCAAATAAATATTTTCAAAAACTCATAAAATGAAAAGAAAATGTTTTATTGCTTAAATTTCAATCCAATTCCACTCACTTTTGTTCTGCCACCTATAAAAATAAAAAGTCTTTGCTTTCTCATGACTGGGAAAAAAAAAAATCAAAAATTACAATAGAAAAAATTGACCTCTTTGTGTTTGTCTGTTTCCAGTTTTGATGTGGAGAATGGCCCATCTGCCAGCTGCAGCCCTCTGGACCCCCAGGCCTCCCCCGGCTCTGGTCTGGTCCTCCACACCAACTTCCCCGGTCACAACCAGCGCCGGGAGTCCTTCCTCTATCGCTCCGACAGCGACTATGATCTGTCACCCAAGTCCATGTCACGAAACTCCTCCATTGCCTCCGAACTGTAAGTAGCAATGACTGGAAATAAGCGCACAGAGTGTAAATACCAAACACACACACACAGATATAGACTTAGACTGCAAGCAGGCTTACATATGGAAGCAAATAAGTTTATTTAAATGTGAATGTTAGCAGCAACTGAATATCTTAATCACTATGGAATACCTGAGGATCCCATCTGGTGCAAATCAAGCTATTTCTTTAACCTTGCTGACATTCCCATATGGTGTGTTTACATGCTAGAAGACATATCACCAGCAGAGAAATTATTGTCATGACTACAAACCTCTAAATATGTAGCTCAGAGATGTGTTTTAGGGGTTAAATCAACAGCCAATAGGGGCCTTTAGTGTTGAAATGTATATTCTAAGGAGACCTATAGAACTATAACTAGTTTGAATTTAACCATGCAAATTTGAGCCACCACATATTTCGACTTTAATGGGTTTGCATTCGTTCAGCTGCTGCTAAGTGTCAAACCATTACTATACACATTTCTGTTCACATTCCTATTTAACCTCATGAACCATAACACCTGCCAATAAGTTTGAAATGCATGTTTTGTTTTGTTTTTAAAATGACCATTTATCTGAGCCAGAAACTGTAAACATAATTTCAACTTTACAACAGTCCTTGAACTACTCATCTGTGAGGAGCCATTTAATGTGGAGATTTAAACAAATCTAAAGTTTAAAATTGTGACATTTCATCAAAATCATTTTATTCTTACGTGTGTCATGACAAAGTTAGTCAGAAATAAAGCGTTTGTCATATCCAGGTTATGCAACAAACGAAAGTTCCTGCAGCCTTCAGAGAAGCCACCAGTGACTCAACTGCATCTGAGCACAGAAACAATTTAAAACCTAAGTAAGAATGAACTGTAATATAAAGAGCTGTCGTTTTGTTCGGCGTTGGAAACATATAAACACTTGGAAAAATGTTGTACATATTGATTACAACTTTTTTTTTTTTTTTTTTTTTTAATTTGTAAAGTAAAAACCAAATTTAAAATTATTAATTTTTCATTTTTTGAACATTTATGGTGTTAAAACTTTGTGATACTGCACAACACAGTGAATGAAGAATCTTACAGTAAACAATCAAAAAAAAGGATAAGAAGGTTAATGTACAGTATAGTATATTAATATATATAGTATATTAGTATACAGACACAAATATGCATGACACCCTCAAGCAATCAATATTTTCATTAATATCAAGTATTTCATTTCAACAGTCAAGGTGAAGTTAACTTTTATCCTGTTCATTTGTCGCTATTAGTTTCCAGAAGTCTACCCTCTTTTTATTACCTCCCTCATCATGCCAGTCTGTAGTGACACTAAACAGTCACACCTCTCTCCTCTACAATGAAACAATATTAAATAAGAGCTTTGTTCCATAACATACAAGTAATGACAAGCAAGATGAGTGAAATATGAGTAAATATAAATACCTTATTTGTTTGTTTGTTTGTTTGTTTGTTTAAATTTTAAAGTTATTGTCAGTTTTTCCATATGTACAACATACAGAGAAGTAAGATTGCCCCACGGTGCAAAATGAACATAGAAAAGAAGTATTAAATTAGCGAAAAAAAAAGAAAATAGGATATAGCTATAAACAGAACATAGACAATAAGCATAGAACGTAATTCTGACTATAAACAATAAATAGACACTAACATATGTGACATTATGGTTCAGTCGTTAAAATTGTAACAAAATTGTGGGTGAAATTATCAAAATGTAGTTCAGTATAATAAGCCTCTTCCATTGCTCTACCCTTCATGTGTTAATCAAAGTCTTTAACTGATTTGATTTTTTTCACAACACATCTTTAACAAGTTACTTTCACTTTCAGTTTGGTTGGAGTCATTAAAAGCAACATGATTGCATAACTCGTTAAAATAATAAGATCACATACAATGGTACAATTCTACTTAAGTTTGTTTTATGTGAAAGGTTCTCTGATGAACTAATTGGAAATGCATACTGTCTGTTATCATATTAACAGAATAAACATGTGTTCTTTGTTTTATTCAACAAAAAGTTTAAAATGTAAATTATCGACTCATTACTAAAAGGCATAAATATGAAGTCGTATTTTTTGGTTTAAGTAACAGATTTTTTTTTTTTTAAATCATGCTTGTGATCACAGTTGTCCTGCTTGTGTTTACTATCAAAGTGCTACTAAAGTGCCCACCAGTGGCGTTTCTCTCAATGGGTTGTCTATGATGGGGTTGGGTTGACTCTCAAGGATTTCCTCTATGACCACTGCATGACTCCAGACATTGCATAACATGACAATAACTGGAAACCCACAGATGAGTAATTCAGTCTCCTGCCTTGGCTCAGGTTAGTCTCCATACAAACACTGTTTTTGACCCGTGACCATCCTCCCTCCTTAGGCTCCTTCCTTTTCAGGTAATTATAGTAATGAGGCTGCTTGGGTCATGGTAATCACTGCTTATCCCCAACATTTTTCCTTTCTTACCTCGACCAAGCTAAGAGAACACATATCAACCTCATGCAATGGGAAGGCCTAATATTTTCTTTGTTTTGTATTTTGAGTATGATTCTAACCACATTTCTGTCTTTTGTGTGTTTGTAGACATGGTGATGACCTGATCGTAACGCCTTTTGCTCAGGTAAATATCGCCTTTTTTCTGTTACCCAAAACGCAGCCCTTTGTAAAGGCAGGCCTGAATTATCCAGAAATGCCTCCTAAGCAGTGAGGTTGTCAACGCTGATCAAGTGCAGACTTTAAATGAGTGTATAAAAGTATAATTTAGTGAGTTTCTACGTTTTTTTGCGCTACAGCCAGAAAAAACAAAAGACAAATGACGTAAATGAAGTACAAAGGATGCCACTGATTACCTCTCTCTGTGCTTGTTTAGGTTCTGGCAAGCCTTCGAAGTGTAAGGAATAACTTCACAGTACTGACCAATGTCCAGTGTGCCTCCAACAAGTAAGTTTTTCTGAATCAAGACTTTTTTTGGTTTTGTTTTTGTTTTCAAAAGTAGGTATTTCTTGTGCTCAATTTTAAGCTCATATTTGCACATTTACAGAAATTAGAAAAATACATCTGGCAGACTCAACATGGCATCACAAAGGGCGCTATAAACGAGGTAGAAGTCCACTTAGCTCCGCTTTGTGTTTGTTTTTATATTCCCCTACAAGTGCAAAATGAATTGAAAATGACTCCACTTCTAAAAATAATAATTATAGCTTTAAAAAAACTCAAAAACAAGTCAAAGGAAAAAGGCTGAATATCCACCTGGTCAGAATGTGCGCTGCAATTCCATCCGTTGGTCACAAGGTGGAGGTATTGAGCTGTAAACTCACTGAGGCAAGCCGTCTGACATCACAGCTGTTTCCACCAATCACAGGAGAGCAGCTGAACTAGTGCTGCAAACAAACACACAACATGCCATGTGCAAACACACACACACACACACACACACACACACACAGCTTTACCAGAGTTTTTAACATTTTGCAGTGGGGGAATTTAGAAATAACTGAGTGTAACTTATTATTATGCCGCTTCTACAGAAAAAAGTAGTCCTTCATTTCTCTTTTGCTTCTTGAGAAAGTAATGAATGGTTTCTGACTGTGCGTCATACTATTATAATGCTTCTCTGTGAGGAATTGCTGCATTGTGGTGACGCAAAATCACACTCGTGACGACTGATACAGATGCATTTGTATGCACTTTGATCTGCTTTTTTAATCTGTCGTCCCTCCTGTGTGTTTTCCATACAATGATGCAAAAACCTAAAAATCTTTCAGTGAGTAAGTTTACTCTTTACATAGCAAAGCTGTTGCCCTTTGATTTCTTCCCATAGTTCATTATCCTCTCTTCCAAACTTTTTTCACACCAACATACATTTAGTTATACAAAAATAGCACTCTGCATTTTCCACTAGTCTCACAAAAGCAGCACGGCTCTGTAAAGCTCCAGCAGCAGTCACCTTCAGCATCATCACTCCCAGCGGAGGTGTGACTGCAGATCTGGATGTGCTGGAAATATGTATGTAGGCCACCGTTCCCTCTGTTCTGCACTACAATGGCTCATGTGTGAATGCGTATCAGTTTCTAAAGATGCTAATAGCGCTGGCCTCCACCGCCGGCTATACTAACACTCAGCTCGCCGTATTGACAACCTGAAGCCCGTCTGACCTACATTCGGCTTTGACGTCTCCACATAGACAAGAGAGGAGCCTGACGCGCACCCGGCTACACACACACTGACCAACATATACCGAACACACACAAAGATCAGGCAGACAATCACCGAGCCCCCTGCTGAAAGGAGATTTATCGACGCTGGCACACGAACGCCAGGAGCACGCCTGCACAGTCTTTTGTCCCTTCAGATGTCACGTTTTCACTTGAACTAATCTGACTGTGTTTTTTCGGGACATGATACAGAACAGTGACCAGCGCCACGCAGCACAGTTTACTCTATTTATAGTCAAATCAAGTGTACAATGCCTGTGTCTGGGTATTGAACAAATACACGCAGCTCAACAAAAAAACGCACGCAGAGCCTAAGAATAGGTTTTATATTTTCTGATATACTAAATTGAAGATGGCGGAACATTTATTCTTCTACAGTGAATCTATTTCTGTTGATCAGTTATTACCCTTTTATTCATCACTACCAAGAATATATTCTACAGGCACAGCGTAGCGCCAAACAGTATATTTAGTATTGTAGTGGGGGCACGCTCATCTTAACCATTTATTCCGACGATAACACATGTCAGGGAGCCTGGGTGGCTTTGCACACGTGATGCTGTGGAACAAGCTCGGAACAGAGTGTCTCTGAGGTCACGAACGGCCAACTTGTAACAAACGTATTAAAAAAAATGTACAACTAAGTGCGAACGCAGGAGGCTGGAGAGCTGTATGAAGTTAATTTAATGACATGAGTGAGGATGCTGACCTCTGCGTTGGTGTTTGCAGATCAAGTGAGCACCACATGTTTGTAAGCTGTGTTGAGAGAAGATGTAAAACACGTGACTCTCAGTGTCAAAGCAAAGCAACAGAATCCACTGAATAGAGCTGATGGAACACTCAGTTTGTTTGGGTGGATTTCAAGAGTTAAGAAAACTCAAATTTAACAGCTTCGACGCTAAACTAAACGAGGCAAATTGTAACTTATACATTGCACAGCTTTATAAATATAAAAACGGAGTAAAAGTAACAGTTTCTAATCATATTCAGCAGCTGCTTTATTTGTCCCTAACAATAATTTTGACAATACAAATAAAAAAAAAAGGTTGGTTTGTCATCAACCCATCAATCCGCTGCATCAGTGGTTTCATAGCTAATTTGCTAATTTAACAAAAAGACAAACAAAACTCATAATGAAGAAGTTAACTGTAAATATAAAGGAACAACATAGATAGTACATGTTGGAACTCGTAGGGCTGGATCTGCAAATCCGATTTTTCGGTTGTTGTGGTGGTATCCCGATATCAATTTTTCAGGTAATCCGTGCGTTTCACTTCCAACTATAAGTCCTGTTTTATCGCTGAAAGTCGGGTCTGTCCAGTTGTATTTCTGGCGGTTTTAATTCCCTTTAAGGCTGAGACTGTCCGCTTGTTTAACTTAAAAAGAAAAACAAAAAAATAATACTTTCACGATAAAGTTTTAGCTTGTGCAGGTCGCTACAGATACGAACCGCTAGCTTTGGCTAAGCTCTCTGACCATCCAATCAGAGGACGTGAAAGTGCTGATGTCATCGTAGGCCAGCTAGGTGGCCCTGGGACCACCAACTCTAAATCTGATTGGTTAAAGCAACAATTTCATTACACTGTATTTTAAGCTACAGGCACTTTTGATTGTGAAGGCCTCAGGGCAGATTTCTGTGACCCTGGCAACACATGATGGCTGAAATATGATTGGATTAAAAAAAAAAAGAAAGCTCTAATATAAACATATGTTGCTGGAAGCCCCACAGCCCAGAGACACGCTATGAAATGAAGAGAAAGACTATTGGGAATAAAGTTAAAAGATTAATGGGAAAACATTACTACGCAAGTCAGTGATTCTGATTGAGTTTAGGTCCGCCTTGCTGGCCCTGATGGCACACCACTGCATAGATGTATATTTCACTTAGTGGACTGAAGTAAACACTTAAATGATTTGGATGGGTGGTATTTAATATGCTCCAAAATCTTTTTAAAGTACATTTTCTGCCCTACTATAAGGCTCAGCTACAACAAAAATGCAATCGCAAACCTAATCAAAGCTACCTGATGACAAGAGTTTGGTGGAAAGATTGGTTTGACTCTCAGTAAGTAGCCTGCCTCTACTGAAAGTTATAGAAATCTGCCTACCAGCAGCAACAAGTTCACCAGTTCAGGAGAATATGTGCAGAACTATTTCTTTCCTGGGTGCAGTGACTGTCTGAAGTCTCCACTCTTAACAAAGAGGCAGCTCTGCCTTTGGACAGAGTCAGGCCAGTGTTTCCAGTCTTTGATCTGAGATAAACTACCTACCTGCTGGCTGTAGCTTCATATTTAACAGACAAAAGTCAATCTTTTTATAAAAATGTCTGCCAGACCTCTCGCTTTAGACATCTTGACACCATGTGTTTGTAATTTATATGATCTGACTGTTGATGAGATGGTCACATACAGCACTTATGCAGGATATTCTTTATCTGTAACACCTTTTCGTTCCTTCTGTCTTTCTTTGGTTCTTCCAGAAGGTCTCCTGCAGCAACGACTCAGCCTCCAATCACCAGAGTTTGTCTCCCAGGTAAGAAGCTCACAAAAATGTCCCGCTACGTGTCTGACTTCTGTAAAGCTACGTGAACGACCTTATCTGGCTCATATCTAGCTTCAAACATTTTTCTGCCACCATTTTTCCTCGTTCTCATTATTCCGTCCCCCCCTCCTCCTCCCTTGTCTCGTCCCGTACTCATGAATTCGCCTACGTGACGACTTTCGCTTTTTTTTTTTCACCATCTGTCTGCAGCTCCAGCGTTGTGGTCCAGACTATTTTGTCATCGAGCTCATTAACCTTGTTCAAACACAATGAAACTGGCAGTTGAGACAAACACCGATGCACATGCAGGCTCGCACAAAGTTGGGCCTATTAAAGCAGCGCTCTTAAAGATAACGGCAAACCTCCCCTTTTCTTCTTTCATCACATCTGATTTTAAGCAGCTGTGTGTGTGTGTGTGTGTGTGTCTGTGCTGCATGTGTGTGCATGTACGTGTCTAGGCCAGCAAGAGGCAGTGTGTGAGTGTGTGTGTGAGTGTGTGTGTGTAAGCACAGATGACTTTATGAGTACTGTGCAGTATCTAACGGAGTGCGTTTGTGTGTAGGTGTGTGCAAACTGTGTGCGAGTATGTTCATTTCTTTGCGAAATACTAAGATCTGTGTCGGTCCACTTGCTCAGCAGAGATGCATGAGATAGTACACACATACAGGTTTAAAAAAAACATTTTTTTGCATATCCTGCTTGTGTCTCAATGGAGGGAGAAGGAATAGAGGTTTTATCTGTTCAGTCATTTGGCATTCAAATACACAAGCCACTTTTAATGCTTATTCTTTCTTTATTTTTGACATTAGGCTCTTTATTCCCAGTGTGGATTAAAAATGTCACTGATCTTTGTCACTCAGACTGTCTTTGTACACCTCTGATACAAAATTATGCCATCACTGGGGCGTCACACTGACCTTTTACACTGGTTGCACTGGTGCACCAATTTTTTTTTCCATTTCATCCAACTTTTCACTGCATCTTTTGGCACAGAATCATACATTTGACCCATTCCTATACTCATTGTTTACATGATTACAAAGAGGAATGAAGGTGTTTCTTTGTTACATTCAACAAGTTCTCTTCCATAACGATGATGTGGAACTGTATTCTGCAAGCAGTGATACATTTTATTGTCATTTCGGACTCCTCACTGCTTCGGTTTGCTGAAAACTGGGAGGACGGCTGCTCAGAGCAAAGATAAGTCTAGCAAAAGCTCCTGGCTGCACTCTTTGCAATAAATACAGTACGTAAATACTGGCTGTTTTTATCATAGTTTGCTACAGGTATGCATGCAGGGACTCATGCAGGTTCAAGGCATACAGCTGCTACCGTTCATTCACCGCAGTTCTCTAAACGCCCTGTTTTCAGTTTGGTACATGCTATCTTGGCGGCTACAGACAGAGAAGCCTCTAGTCTCCACCCAGTTTGAGGTGTTCTAATGTAAGATTTACCCAAACTGAAACCAAGAGATTTTATCAACCTGGGTGGGCCGCACACACACACACACACGCACACACAGACCTGCTAAATGTCAGACACACAATGAAAATCTCACGTAACAGATTTTTTGGGTGCATGTCCAACCAACATGGTTGCACCCTGGGCCTCCAATCCCCACCTGGAAGACTGACAGCTAGATCTTAACAGCTGACATCACCTGCATCAGTGCCTGCGGTCACATTGAATTATATCACTGTAATGTTTTCTTTGCTTAAACTTGGAAAACATCTTAAGAAATTTCTCCTCTCAAAGTCTTCTGATATAAAAACTCATAACTTTTGAGAAAGACTTTTTTTTTTAAAGAAATGTTATAGCAACAAGCAGAACAACAGGAATATTGTGTTTTTATTGCAAGAACGATGTATAAAATGAAATGCAAAAAAAAAACCTGCACAGTGTACAGTGTGATGGACCACTAAGCATGTGTGTTGTGCACTTTTTATTTACACATTTGACCTTACACGCACTTATCAAGATTATCATTACATCTTCTGATAAAATACTGACGCATTACACCTTCGACCGCACAGCTGTGGGTAGATGTTCCCACAGTCTCTAGGTAGAACATTAAAAACCGCAACAGCAAATGTGCTGTTGTGTAAAAGCAGAGAGAGATGAGCAACAATGAAACTGAGAACAGTGAGCCCAGTTAACCATCAAATAACCAACAAGTTTTAAATGAATCCAGCTCAGGGCCTGATGTGAGATCAGAGCAGAACAAGGGGGAAAAAAAATCTACCGAAGATAACAGTGTTTGTTACTCCTCTTTTGTCCGTAGACATCATAGGACCATCTATGTCCTGTTTTCTGTTTTGGCTTTTTTCATTTGTGATCCCAGATAATACGTATATAGTTGATCAAAAATGTGCTGAATGAATTTTTATTATGATTCATTATTTGAATCTGTGAGTTCATGTGAAAATTGAAAACGAAATAAAACATTACGTGATATTACATACATTTAAAGTGTGTGTGTGAGTGTGTGTGCATGTGTGTTAAGCAAGCATCACTCATCTCATTGACGTGTGTCTTAGTGAATATTTCACTGTGTGATGGTATTTTAAACTTTGCTGAGTGCAATTTTGAAATTGTGGTCTCAGAAGGTGTTGGACCCGAATGAGTATTTATTGTGGCGTGTATGCATCACTCTGTGTGTGTGTGTGTGTGTAGTGCAATTTTGAAATTGTGGTCTCAGAAGGTGTTGGACCCGAATGAGTATTTATTGTGGCGTGTATGCATCACTCTGTGTGTGTGTGTCTGTGTGTGTGTGTGTGTGTGTGTGTGTGTGTGTGTGTGTGTGTGTGTGTGTGCAGTGGGGAGGTGTTCCTGTGGCTCTGATTGACGTCAGCATGCCTGTATGTGGCTTCTGTTGACTTCCTGTTAAAGCAGATGGACTGAGTTTTCACTTCCTTCTTCAGAAACCACATCTCATCAGGTGCTCTGACTGTGTGTGTGTGTGTGTGTGTGTGTGTGTGTGTGTGTGGTAGAGTTTAGGAAAATATGTGTGCGAGAGTATCTCATAAAGCAGCTCCATAACGTGCATTGTGACCTTTCATCATAAGGTTGTCGCTAAATTACCGGTATCGACTTTATGTCTTCAGGAGTCTCTGAGTTTGTGTGTTGCACGCTGCAGACGGTGCAACTGACTTCTCATCTTCATGCAAACAGATCTTCAATTTTTTACACGTGCAACCGCCATTGACTGTTTTATGTGCATAAGGCTTTAAACCTCATACAGTGACAAAGAGAATCATTTTCTATTATCCACAAATTCCATGAAAATCAGGCAGAAATGCACCCTTGTAGCAGCTATTGTCTGCACAGCCACGGCCTGATAGTGTTGTGCACAAAACATATAAAAGTGCTGCTCTTTTGCATTTGTCCCATCACGTACAAACGGCGTGGTGTATTCGTCGTAGCTTATTTAACTAGAGAGGCAGTGTACACAGCTAACCGTGTCCTTGAGCATGCTCAGTGATAAACAGAAGTATTTCCAGAGGAAGCTACTTCAGAAAATGCCATCAGCATGGTTTTAGACACCTTTTACAGCTTTCATTGTATACATGCATGGCCTCCCTGCTTTACTTTTTGATGGAAATATAATTTTTTATCTTCTTAAATGTTTTTTTTCTTTTAAATTTTTGCATTATGTTATTGTAAAGTGTGATTTCGCAACACGTGCCTCAGTTTGCATAAGCTAGAGTTAATTGCTCAATCGATTGATGGTAAATACAGTTTTGTTTTCACTTTTTTTTTTTTTTGAAAAAATGCCATTTATCCATTGGCCCCAGCGTTTAAATTGTGACAATATATTTGCAGTATGTGATTTTAAATATATGACCTTTTGTTTTTGACTGTGGGTATGACAAAACAAGATAAATGCAATGCAAAAACTAATTCCTCATGAAAAAATATATATATATATAATCTGCAAAGTGATCAACAATAAAAATGAATAGGTAGTTCATGAATGTTTGTGTAAGAATGAACCTGGAATATGAATGATAATATATTTTGATAATCTCTTAATTTTATGGCACAAATTCTATCCCAGTTTGTCCACACAGAAGGATAAATGCCATCTTTAAATCTTATATATACCTTTTTGTAACCTTAATATGTCGATCATATCCAAAAATCAGCCTTAAAGTAGTTGCTCGCACGGTGAACGTTATACAATCGTGCAGGATTTCACCATCATGCTTGATGTCAGATGATTGTTCTTTGTGTGCGTTCAGCACCTGCCCCATCACACAATCTCAACTCGGTCCTGCTGTTTTTTCCCATGATCTCAGGCCACATCCTCACCGCACACATTCACACGTCACATCTGCCTCCCACCATCCTCCTCTCTCCTGTTCATTCTCCTTATGCCTTCATTTTTCCTTTTCATTCATCTGTTTGTCTTTCTCTCTCTATCGGAGGAGGAGGAGGAGGGGAAAGAGGGGGGGAGGGCAGGAAATGTGAGGCAGGAAGAGAAGATCAGATTGTTCCTGTTTTGCTGTCTCTAAACTGTTGTAACTTGACGGAAGCCAGGAGGAACTGTGTGTGTGTGTGTGCGCGTGTAGGTGTGCATGTGTGTGTGTGTGTGTGTGTGTGTGTGTTTGTGTGTCAACCCACTGGAGAAAAATAGGATGCGGAGAGACAAAGGCCTATTGTCTGTGCCCACACACTGCACAAAC